TCCAAGTCTAAATATCTGATCTAGACTTTCAGATTAACCTCCACATCTGTAAATGGAGTCATTCCCTCAAACAGTACTTTATTATGTGCCCTCTTACGTGGTAGAAACAGTCCAGTGGAAACACAGTGTCTGGTTTACTGCCTAGTTCCTACCATTTACAATCCCTATCAGAATGACTCAAAAGTAACTAAAACTGAATGAGAATATCTGAACTCTTTATATTACCATAAATATATGCCATGCACCCTTTGTCCCATGTATTAGTGAATGGTACTTCCATTTCTCAAATCACCCAGGTCAAAATGATCCTTCTTCTACCACTCATTAGCCGGGTGAGGACAATCTGACAATTCTACATTCTCTGTGTTTCTCTTATTAAGCCTCTCCCTTTCATTTCCATAGTTGCTTCCCTAGATACTTAGGCAATGCCATCTCAGTTTTCTAGAGAGTCAGCAGACACTTGCAGAATGAATGTATGGATGCAAGATTGCAAGAACGAATGGCAATTTTGAGTCAGTAGGCCATACTGACTCCATTCTGCACCCTCCAGTTCATTTTCCAAGCTGATACAATGCAGGTATTTCCAAAATTCATGTGCAATTATGTCATGGTCATTCTCCTGATTTTCACCTTTCATGACCCAATACTGCCTACAGCAGGGATCCCCAAACCCTGGGCCATGGACCTACACCACTCTGCGGCCTGTTAGGAACCAGGCTGCACAGCAGCAGGTGAGCGACACAGGAGTAAGCAAAACTTCACCTCCAGCTACAGCACTCAGATTATGCCTGAGCTCCCCCTCCTGTCAGATCAGCAGGCATTAAATGCTCACAAGAGCTCAAACCCTACAGGAAGGCACACACAGGGACTGCAGGTTGCAAACTCAAATGAGCTGAGATGATGCTAGCATGGGAGGGATGTAATTATTAAATATTAAAACCCATTAATACAATTTTTAAATCCGCCCCCCCAGTCCATGGAAAAACTGTCAGTCACGAAACTGGTTCTTGGTGTCAGAAAGGTTGGGGACTGCGAGCCTACAGGCTAACGGCTGGAGTATGAAGCTGTCGAAGGCCAAGCACTTGTCTTTGCTTTACCTTCTTTTCCTGCAACTCTCCTCATCCTGCACACTCAATGGTGCCTAGAATTACTATGCTGCCTCAAAATTCCCTATCTTTGCTGCAGTTGTTTTCTGTACCAAGATTTCTCATCTTGCCCCTGCTTTGCCCACCTGAAAACTAACTACACATTTGTCCACACTGAGCTCAGACCTCACTTTCCACAGGAAGACTGTGCTGGCCTTTCTACCTTCATCGCCACCATGTTTTTGTCTTTTTCCAGGAAGCTGTGGAACCTGCCCCTGCAAGGCCGCACCGACATCACTTTGCACTTGTTCGCCGGCCAGCCTGAATCAGCCCAGTGCCAGAACCTCTTCCCTCCTTCAGAACAGAGGCCTTTGTCTTAATAACTTGAGAATTAGCACAGATGAATAAGCAGGTGAATGACTGAACAAGGGAATGATAGTCACCAAAAAGAGTTAGGCAACGGGATGATACGACAAACTTCACATTTTAAGAACAAAACTATGGTGTCAGAGAAGAAAGCTAAGGTTGCGAGCAAAAGCCAAATGATCAGGCAGGAGAATATTACTAATCATCCAAGGGAGCGGCGTTGAGGAACTGGAAGGGACAACAGAAGTAGTCAAGAGAAAAAAAGAATATCTTATAAAAGTATAAAGTGACCAACCAGGACTTAATGGCCTTTTAGATCAGTGGCAGGAGCAACTGAGAGAAAACAGACAGCTTTACAGGTCCTGGCCTCAGTGATTAGACTATTTCTTTTAGTTTAAAATATGTATAGGGCTGGGGATATAACTCCATGGCACAAGCACCTGCCCGGCAAGCACAAGGTCCTGAGTTCGATCCCCAGTACCCAAAAAAACCCGAATAAAATATCTATAAATTCCCCTTTTTATATCAAACCAGGCAAAGATACATTCAACCAGTTACATCTATGTTGGACACCTTTTCCCTGTGTATCTTCTCTGAACCACGCACATATCAATGCAAGTTTATATACGGAACCTCAGCATGCCATCAATCTAATACTTACTCTTCTAAGGATTGTCCTTAAAAGAAGGGGAAATTAAAAAGGAACACACAACATTCCAAGAAAGAAGTCACCTCCTATTTGTGCAGCTCATCTAGCACACTGAAGAACAGCTCCATGGACACACAACTGTCCCTGAGTCCGAAAGAGTAGCAGGGCAGGGATCTTCAAGTCTCTGCTACTTTATAGACTCCAACACAGTGTTTGAAGTAGGTCCTGTTTTGTTGTTGCCAGTTATCCTATCAGTAAGCTAGGCTATCTGCTCTCAAAACCGCATTACATATCATCAAACGATCATTATAATAATGATGTTTGTATATTTAACAAAAATTTGCCTTTACCTATAGCGTAACTTTAAACACACTTTTCTTGTTTCTTGGCAGTAAAACGCTGGTCTACCACATGAATGCATCCCCGAAGTACCTCATTAATCACAGTGCACTTGTTCTTGGCAGCAACCTTAATATGCTGCAAAAACTGTTATTAAAGTAAGATCTGGGGAATCCCAGGCTGGCAGGGAATTAGTTAGTTACACCTCTCTAGAAATTGTTTCCTTATAATTTCCTGTATTATTAATGGTCTTGTTAGACCTACAGCTCAAAGCAACTTTGTTTGACTAATTTAATGTGTAAAGTCCAGCTATTCAAAAACTTATTTCAAATTATAAGCAGCAATTGCCAAAATTGGCCTTTTTCCCCCAGAACCTGCTGTAACTGTATACAATGCTTCCAAAACATGACACTATCCCTTCTCTCTGCATGTTAATGTGGTTCTAGCACCCGTCTCTGCTCAGACATTACAGTGTCAGGCTCTAGACATCTAGAATAACTCTACACTAGCAACAGCTTATTGACAAGTACAGAATTTATTTCCTATCTACCACTAATGACACTGCTAAACAGACAAAGCCTGGTGAGAAGTATCCAGAACTGAACCTTTTAAAAACTCATTTATCACAAAGTAAAAAGACAGTAAAGCCTATAGAAATCGATTGCACACCAAGACAGCAAAAAGAAAACACAGTCTTGAGAACAAAATGTTGAGAAATTCCCATTCACAGTCAAGAACACCACTTAGGAGACCCCAAGTGATGTACCACCCAAGGTTGTCTCCAACCCTCTCTGAATGGATAGTGTACACATAATCAAAAATGAAAGTCTATGAAAGGGATGGTAGGGAAAATTCAGAACCATGAAAACTTTGAGCCTATTCTTATGGAAATCATCCATATAGTGCGTCTTTATTTCACTATTACATGTAGCACCACCATTGCTAATTATTTTCAGTGTATTGTGACAGGTCAAAGTAGTTTATTAGTTTTACTAAGTAATATGGCTCATTACCTATCAATCCAGAAGAGATTAACATGAAGAGTTCCAGTAGTATTTTTCTACATCCCTCACTATAGGATCTACATCTAAATCAATGTCAATCTTAACATCAGTGACTAAGTTAAACCTTCTGATGTAATAACCATGCAATGCAACATTCTCCCCATACACACTCTGAAATGGAAAGTGGGCTGTCATATTCTAATAGTGCACGTTCACATCAACGTGGGGCTGTAAAATTTTCCAGACGCCAGGGCCCCACAGACTGTAGACCAGCGATTTCCTAATTTCTATGTGGTCAAATCCCAGGTTTGCCTATTTACAGAACTAGAACCTTTTCCTATGTCATCTCAAAATATGTTTGCAGTGTTGATGCCAACCTTTCCTCCCAGACAAGGGATATGTATGGATGATAACATCTCATTTTTTAAAAAGAAACCTAGTTCACCTGTTGGAAACACATTTTATCAGGAATAAAGGAGCGTATCATTGACTGGATGTAAGTTTCTCTTGGGCCTCCCAAGCATGGCATCTTTACACTTTAACATTAAGAAGCAAGGAGTAGGGAAGAACTAAAAGAAAATTCGAAAACAGGGGGAAGGACAAGAAAGGATAAACTAGGGTGTAAAGGTATTAAAACTACCCATAAAATGTCCAGATAAACCTAACTGCAACAGGAGAACTGAATGAATGGATATTGTGGCAAAAACAGTAGTAAACTTGAAAGCCACTGAAAGGTTTTAAAAACCTAAAGGAAAAACAAACATTTGCTCGCAATCATTTTCTCATTAAGCATTCTCTGCTAGACGGCAAGGGCTTGCTTAACACACCACACACTTTGGGCGCCATAGAAGCTGATTTAAGCCGCTGCCCAACGCTGGTCGGCGCTGGCTCCAGCGCTCCTGTGCCGCCGCACCTGGGCCGCGCTCCCGCGCCCCGGCTCCCCACGCCGGCTGCAGCGCCGGGCTCAGCCCCGCGGGGCAGCCCGCCTCTCCCCGACCGGGGCCACCTCCTGGGAGGCTGCAAGGTCTGTGTGCACCGACACATTTTCCGTTGGTGGCGGCTGTGGCGGTGGCGAGGCGTGTTTCCGGGCGCACTTAGAACCCAGCAGCACCGAGGAGCAGCTTCCCCCTGCGGCGCAGAGCAGGACGTGGACCCAGGCAGAGCCCGCGAGCGAGCTCCTCTCCAGCCCCTCGCACCCCGCGGTCACCCCTGACCTCGCGGACCCGCGGGTCCCCGCAGCGAGCGTCCTCCCGCGCGCGCCCCGCCGCCCCGCTCGGGGGAAGTTTCTGCATCTCGGGACCTAATCGCGCTCTGCGGTCCACGGGAAGCCCTAGTCCCGCTCGCGCCGCCCCGCCGCCGGGCTCCTGGGACCCCCGGTCAGCGCGAGGTGTCCCCGCCGGGAGGGGGCGGGCGGGACAGGTGGGCCGGGGGCGCGGGAAGGCTGGGCGGGAGACGCGAACACGTGCAGAGGAATAAAAGCGCCACGTGTGCGCGCGCGGGCGGGTGTGCGCGCCCTGCCGGCGGGGTCCCGGGGGGCGCGGGGGGCGCGGTACTTACACGAACGCGTGGTACACGAACGCCCAGCCGCGCGGCCGCTCCAGGACGTTGTACAGGTAGTTCTGCACGCGCCGGTACTTGGCGTTGCGCCGGCAGCTCTGGCCGCTGGAGTAGGACAGCGGCTTCCCCAGCAGGCTCATCCGGGCCCCCTGCTTGC